ACTGATGTGGCAGTCATTGCTGTAAGTCTGCAGACAAATCTATCTATGACATAAAATGTTTATTATTATTATTATTATTATTATTATTATTATTATTATTATTATTATTATTATTATTATTATTATTATTATTATTATTATTATTATTATTATTATTATTATTATTATCATACCATGCAGAGGGACGGGCAACAGGACACGCATCACTGACCAAGGTGTCATCAGCTCTCAGAACCAATGTGTGTTCAGCTTTGATTAGCATACATACATTCTCTGGGTGTGACTCCACAACTGACTTTTATGGTAAATGCAAAAGAAGACACTGAAACCTCAAAAACCAGGATTAAAAAACGGTCCTGGCTTACACTATGACAAGGTCGCAGGCCTCTGATTGGTCCCAGTACAGACCAGTACAGACCAGTACAGACCAGTACAGACCAGTACAGTTGGTGATGGGAGTTCTGACAAATAAAGGATCATTGGATTTGGTTGGAATTCTTTTTTAAAATCGTGGTTAAATCGTATCGTGACTTCAGTGTCTCGTTACTCCCCTAGTGGTGTGACCTTAAACCTGAAACATCATCATCGTCATCGTCGTCGTCGTCGTATGTTAGCTGATCCCGGCTCTTGTCATAAATCAGACGCACCGTGTGATGTCTAAATGTTAAACTTACAGCAAAAAGTTTGCCACATTATAAAAAATGTGCAGGATCTTTTGCGACGAACTTTCTGCTGTAAGCTTAACATCAGTCCTTTTTTATGAACTAAAGATTGTGTAGTTCGCAGACGTCGGAGCGGAATTCAATTTCTTGGACTTTTCGTGGTTCACCTTACGGCCTACTGTATTTTACCAACATTTCAAGCAGCATGACAAAACAAACTGGACATAAGTATGTAATTTTAGCATTTTTCCTGAGGGTGGCAGCACTTTTACACTCATTGAATGGCTGTACCGGCTTAAAGTTCATACTTTAGAATTCATACTATTTTTCTACAGTACATATTATTCTACAGTACACATAATTGTGAATTTTTTTTTATCTAAGAAACTGTATTTTGACCTCTAAAAACATTTTGTACTTGAGAACATGAGTGCAGAGCCTAGAAGAAAGAACCTATTATTAATGAAAGTGATTCAGACGTCATGCTTAGTGTTACGCAACAGTGTAGAAAATGTACTTTTAAACATACATACACGTTTACCTTTTTTAAGTAATTCGTTAAGAAATTAAAAAGTATAGAGCAGTGTGTGTAGTATTTTCTAGTCAATTTGAATATTTTAAAGAGCATATGCCCTGATGCCTGCTTATTTTTGGTCCCTGCTCCATATAAATGCAATTTTAGTAAAAAAAAAATGTCAGCGTTTCCAATTTTCACTTTTACCAAAATGAGCTGAGAGTTTGTGCCTACAACACATATGGCACCGTGTTGCTAGGAAACATCAGCGAGAGGCCTCTGCCTCGACCCACTAGTGGAAATGAAACAGATTCTATACTGATGTAAAAGAATAATCAGTAATGTATCATTACCAGCTCACAATTAAGTTTCACTTGGGAATTTTCATTATTGTGGTAATAAATTATAAAGCTGCAGCAAAAACAAAAAAACAAAAAACACAGCCACAGGAAGATTGTACTTTACGGTAAAATTAATCCACAGCTAAACTGGCAACCCCTTAGGTCTGTCCAGTGAACCTGCAACTCTCTGACATTTATTTTTTCAGTAAATGCTCAGTGATGCTGTTTAACACTTTAACTATGTAGAAGTTGAGGCTGGACTAACCAGTCCTCCACATACACCTCTGAAATCCTGCTGTATTATGTAATGGTGTTCTATTTATAAAACATGACACATATTTTTCTCAGTTATATTTAAAGTCAGGGGAAAATCTGCTTCTCAATTCTGTGCTCCTCTCCTCACCACCATCACTGCTCATATCAAGTGCTGGTCTCATCTCATCTGCAGACGTTATCATGTTATTGTTTTTCCAGACACACATTCCTTCTCAGTTTATTGCAACAGCTTGATCTGAGCTCAGTTATGTCACGGATCCATGACATCAACACAGTTCTTGACATCAGCAAGGACATGAGGAGATGGAGGTTAGATCATCCCAGGATCAGTCTGACCTGCTCTCTGACAACATTACATCCTTCTGAATTACAGTTGCATAAATTAAGCAAATAAAGCTATGATGTTGTTCACTGCTGATTACTGTGACTGACACTGACGTGCAGCAACACGTGTTCAGTACCTTTGTCCCCGCTGCAGTTCACTGTTTCAGGTTTTCAGGTCTTCTACCATCTGTTACTCTCTTATTCTGTGCGTAAATGTGTGTGTGTGTGTGTGTGTTTGTGTGTCAGATTTACACTGACGTGTCACTTGGTGTACTCTAGGACAAACATGTAAATTGAGTTGTTTTCATTTAAGTCGTGACATGAATCATACTGTACCATATTATTTACTATTTAATGGTCTAGTGTGTAAGATTGACAAATACACTTGAGGTTTTCTTCTTGTTTCATATGTAATTTGACTCGTCACATGATGGAAAAACTGAAGTGTTTAGCATCACTTGATTACATTGATTACTGTACTAGGAGTACAGTGATGGAGCACAAAGAACAAAAGTTTACTGTTCTATTCATGTTTGCATAAGTGTGTATTAGTATGTATATGTGTGGTGGTGGTGGGGAATTCGATTGTCCAGGACTTTCCCTTCCTTAACAAAAATATTTCTCTGTCATTATCTTCTTTACCGTTAAGGTAATTTGAATGACTGAAAATAAAATAACTTATATTCTAGTTAAATTTATTTCACACAATTAGAAAAGTTTAAACAACCCTCCTGTAAGTTAGGCCACTATTATTCAGCTGATATGTTACTATTTTATGCTTAAAATATCTTTGGGTCCCTTTTCATAATAAAACCAATTTCCTGAATGCCTTTTTGCGTTAATTTTTTTTTTTTATTTTTTGTTCAGTTTTAGCCTTTTCTGGCCTACCTACTGTGTTGCTATCATTTGACCAACTGCCATTTCCACTTCATTTAGATCTGTCCACTGGAATAGTTTAAGCTTTAGCTCAGTCCTGAAGAAAGGACTTCTGGAGTTTAAAAAAAAAATTCAGATTCACTAAATAAATATGTTAAGTTGGTGGTAATTCAATCTGCCCCTCCCCCAGAACATTTTTGTCAACCCAGCTACAGTATGTAATCAGTAATATGCTGCATTACTCCACATAGTTTTTCTCTTTTCCCTCCCTTCTGTCTCTCCTCTTGCTCTGTCTCTCTGTTAGCACTAATCTCTAGTCGTGCTCACAGTCTTACAGCTTCCTGCCCTTCCATATCCCTCTCTCCCCCTCCGTTCTCTCTGTCTCTCCCCCCTTCAGCATCACTTCTTTTTTTCTCCCCAGTGAGGATGACATCCCTGAGTTTGATGAACCAGCGCAGCTGATTCTGGCTGCTGGCTTCTGAGGGAAACCCCACATGAATGGTTTCACTGGAGCAGGACTTGCCGCATCTGTGGAGGACCAAGTGCAAGACCTGTCATCTAAAGCAACCTCTCTGTAAGTGTCCTCACTGTGTTACTTTGTCCATCAGTGGTTAAATAAAAATGGCATCTTTCAAATACTTCAAACTGTTCCAGTGCATTGTTTCAGCCCTTTCTTAGCAGACTGCACCACTTCTCCCTAATGTTTAGTCTTTGGCACCTCTTAGCTGAGAATTTATGGAGTGCTGAGATGATTAGAGATAAGCTGGTGTTGGTGTATGTGTGCTGATGCAGCTGCAGCAGCAGCAGCTGTGTCAGCTCTGTCAGTGAGTGAACTGCTATTCTTGGTCATGACACTGAGGTGCCGCGTCTTTGTTTCAGCTATCTCTTTATTGGCATGCTTACAGTAGAACTGGTACAGAGGCTCATCGCCCTTGTGGTGTGGTTTCAAACTCCACAGTGTTTGTGTGTAGTTCATAATGACATCATTGCCCCTACTGTACATAATCAATAAGAAAAAAGGTTATTTCTAAGACAAGTTCAGAGCGTGTGACATAACATGGTTTTTTAAAATGATCATGAGTCACTTTAAAGCATCAGGAAACATGCTGCTGTCATGGAAGTGCTGAGAAACAGGAGTAGCAAGGGTGAATATATAAAATAATATATACATATGATACAATAGTCATTAGAAAGAAGTATGACAGCTGAAGACTGTGGTAGGAGGAAAGATCTCTATGGTAACAGCAGATTTAGAGGAAAGGAGAGAAGAGGGTGAATGGAATTGGTGGAATGAATACATAATATAACATGTGAGAAAAGTAAAGGAATTATGAAAGGAAAAGAATGAAAATAAAAGACAAGGAAAAGTTAAGAAACCAGTATATGTAAATGTGCATGAATGGAGCAGTTTATTATTTTATTAACTTTATTATTTAATGTCTTACTGTCCTGAAGAAACCAAAGCTAAACAGTGGGTATGGAAAGTATTCAGACCCCCTTAAATTTTTCACTCTTTGTTATATTGCAGCCATTTGCTAAAATCATTTAAGTTGATTTTTTCTTCATTAATGTACACACAGCACACTATATTTAAAAAAACACGGAATTGTTGACATTTTTGCAGATGTATTAAAAAAGAAAAACTGAAATATCACATGGTGAGGTATACAGACCCTTTGCTCAGTATTTAGTAGAAGCACCCTTTTGAGCTAAGAGTCTTTATGGGAATGATGCAACAAGTTTTTCACACCTGGATTTGGGGATCCTGTCCAGTTCTGTCAGGTTGGATGGTGAACGTTGGTGGATACCCATTTTCAATTGGGTTTAAGTCAGGGCTCTGGCTGGGCCATTCAAGAACAGTCTTGGAGTTGTTGTGAAGCCACAGCCTTCGTTATTTTAGCTGTGTGCTTGGGGTCATTGTCTTGTTGGAAGTTGAACCTTCGGCCCAGTCTGAGGTCCTGAGCATGCTGGAGAAGGGTTTCACCCAGGATATCCCTGTAGTTGGCCACATTAATCTTTCCTTCGATTGCAACCAGTCGTCCAGTCCCTGCAGCTGAAAAACATCCCCACAGCATGATGCCCCCCCTCCCCACCACCATGCTTCACTGTTGTGTCACTGGACTGTATTGGACAGGTGATGAGCAGTGCCTGGTTTTCACCACACATACCGCTTAGAATTAAGGCCAAAAAGTTCATCAGACCAGAGCATCTTATTTCTCACCATCTTGGAATCCTTCAGGTGTTTTTTTAGCCCATGCGGGCTTTCATGCGTCTTGCACTGAGGAGAGGCTTCTGTCGGGCCACTCTGCCATGAAGCCCCGACTGGTGGAGGGCTGCAGGGATGGTTGACT